TTCTGCATCCTTGCATTCCAAATTTATTCCTTATTCCTAAAGATTGGGGATTTTGAGTTTCTTAAAAAAAAGGGGGGAAAAGGAGATTTTTTTGTGTGTGTTTTTTCACAGAAAGGCAATTATGCAACTTGATAAACATTATAAAATAAATAGTAAAATAATAATATAGTAAAATAATGAGATAATAAAAATAATTTAATAAATAAAATGAGAGAATAAAAGAATAATATAATAAATAAAATAGTGAGAGAATAAAAAAATAATATAATAATTAAAATAACGAGAAAATAAATAAGAATAATGTAATAAATAAAATAGTGAGAGAATAAAAGAATAATATAATGAATAAAATAATAATATAATAATAAAATAATGAGAGAATAAATAAGAATAATATAATGAAATAATAGAATAATGAGATAATAAAAGAATAAAAAATGAAATAATAAAATAATAATAAAATAAAATAATAATGAAATAATAAAATTATAAAATTATAAAATGATACAATAATATAATGAGGGGTAGGAATCAGTCCAAGAGGATCTTTGATATAATCCTGCAAGAATAAATTCAATTATACGCCCAGGATTGTTCTCCTGGATTAGGAATTGTTTAATTGGGGAAGATTGTGCTGCTGTTTAATGGGTTTTAGGGACTCARCTTTCCAGGCAGAGAAAAGAGGGAAAGAGATTTGGCACGGAATTGCCAAATCAGAGAATTTTGGGATATTTGGAGTGGGAGAGATCCCGAAGATCATCCCAACCCCTGATCCTGCCCAGACCCCCAACAATCCCCCCTTTCCAAACGCTCCTGGAGCTGTGGGACCATYCCCTGGGCAGTTCCAGCACCCTCTGGGGACACAAAAACCTTTCCCAAAATCCATCCCAAACCCACCCTGGCCCAGSTGAAATCCCTCTGGTGCTGTTTCCTGGGAGCTGAGCCCAATTCCCATTCTGGATCCGTCCATTCCAAGCCCAGTCTGGGCYGGGTTTGACCCCTTGGTCCTGTTGGATTGATSCCTTATCAATCRGGCTGATCTGAAACAAAGCCCAGACTAACTTAAGAGAATSAGAATAGACAACTTTAAWCCAGGCCTAACAGCYCCCTGGTACATCAGGGCAGACAAAGCCCAAAAATGGACCCCGRGTCACGWGATCTTCACCTTTTATCAGTTCTGCCTYATTMACATWTTGGGTGTTAATTCTSCAATGATCTTTACAGGTGATGATGTCACCCACCCCAAACTGCTCCCCYCAATTCTCCGTTGTTTCCATATTTTGGGGCTCTGAGGTGTCCTTGGATTCAGCTCAGAGAGGAATTGTTTTGTCTAAAGATGGGAGAACGGGAGTTTTAGTGCTGTACTGGAGAAATACAAGAATACAGATGAATGAAAATATAGAAATGAAAAATCCTAAGGCATCAGGATCRGTGGGATCTGGGAACCCCAATTCAGGAGAGCAGGGAGCCGCTCCTGGCTCTGCCCAGAGAGACACCAGAGGGTTTGGGGTTCTGATTGTGTGAGAAAATCGGGAGTGAGGAGAGAGAAGGGGGAAATGGGGGGATTGAGGAGGAGGAATTGAGGGCATTGGGATTGTCCAGATGGAGAGGAGAGARAGGGGAGACCTCATGGGGTTCTTCAACATCGTCCCAAGGGCAGCTCCGTGGGCCAGGGATGGAATTTAWATCTCTTTATATTTTTTATTTTGCCTGAACAGATTCCAAAAATTTTGAAGAGATGCCAATTTGCTCGTGAAAGCTGCAGCCCAAAGGGAAAATWCCCAGATTTTACTTCCATCGGAATTGCGGTGGTTTATTCCTTGCCATTGATTCCAATTTTTATTGAATTTCATTTTTTAAAAATGAAATTATCCAGTTGAACACAAGCGATCATCACAGGAAGATTCAAACCATTGATCCCCCCAAAAAATATAAATCCATGATTGCATTGGGCCTTTCCACAAAAATTGATTAAAGACCCATGAAAGTCTGGAGGAAATCACTTCAATCCTAACATCAAAAAGTTTATTTTTTTCTTTTAATGTATTTTTATTTTTTAGTAATTTTTATATATTTATTATTTTTTTAAAATAAAAATTAAGTTTTTTTAAGCCACGTTTTATGTCGTTATAGGGTTGCCAATGACATTTGTGAGCACTGTAGGACAAAAATTCAAAATATTTCTTGCTCGAATTTATCTTTGGCTGAGGAGCCACAGAAGCAGAGATTTCCCAGATAATTGCAATAATTAACAACAAAAATTTG